TACTGACGAAGAAGAAACTTTCTTCTCACACCATATCCTACACTTATGCAACCACCAAAAAAGTTTTCACCAGAAAGCATTAGAGCTATTGCCCACAATCCGAATACCGATTTAGAATCGTTCGATATATACTCCAAATCCGACATTCAACATCACATACATAGACAAAAATTTCAAGAATTACTCACAAAAATGGACACTATACAACGGCAATCTATAGATCAAAACCTACGCAAACTTGAAAAAACAGTAGGCATTTCCGAAATATACGCACAAGACTATAGCTGATAATTTAAAGATTTGAAAGATAACATTTACTTAAATGGCGAAAAAAAAACAGACCACAAGATATATCACCGATAAATTTTCTTAGTTTTGTAACATTGAAAAGCGAACTTCTTGCCTTTCTAGGATGGCCCTACTACATGCTAGAAAGATTGACTATTTGATACGCAATGTTTTACTTTCTTGGAATTCTTTTCTCTCTTATAAAAGATATCTACAATACATGCGCAATACATACACAAGTGAACAAACAAGCGAGTGTAGCACGCATATTTTTTGCAGGGTTTTTTGGGTTAATTTCTACATCAATAAACAAAAAGCTTTTAGACGCTCAAATAAAAGAATAAAATACCAAGCTATCAACAACACTGAACTCATATGACGATTCACAAAATAATATAAATACATCGCCTACGGCTAAACAACTACAAAACCTAAATCATAACCATCCCTTATCATTAGTGCCCCGAAATTTCAGAAATATAGCCCTAACAGACCTCATAACTTTGAGATCTAATTATCCACAAAGCCCAATTCAACACATAATAACCCAACAACCCAAAATAGAAGACACCATTGAACAAATTATAGAACAATCACATACCACTATCTTTCATTCTCAGAACAACAATCTTTTTAGCCCACGATGAGCCGCCAAGTTGAAGCACTCCATCGCTCAGTTTCCTACTCAGCCAACCTCAAGAGCAACCTCCACATCATCTCACATTTTGTTTTCACTCCACATCAACCACCTCATGATAACACTTCATCCAGCATGGAATCAGATACTAATTCAAATACAACTGTATATAACGCTATCTCCCAATTTAATAACTCCGATATCGACACACCCGACGAATTTGCCAACTCCGAACCCAGCCCATCTACATTTTCCCAACCTCCCCTTCAGCCTATTCATTCCCAAGTCAAGACTGAACCCCTTTCCCCTCCTTCTTCTATTTCAAATGTAACACACATATTCACGTTTAACCAGTGAACCATCCGACAACAATAGCTCTGTAAATACACAATTATCAGAACTTAAACAACAATTACAGCAACCTCAAACACTAACCATTCACCAACTCTCACAATCTATAATACCATCCAACCCATCAAGCACAACTCCTCTTCACATTATAATCCTTCGCAAAACCCAACTTCCTCATCAACCCAATCCTGTAGTACAAACCGAGCTTACCGAACCTTTAAAAGAAAATTCCCAAATACTCCATTTCTATCTAACCCAGGAACATCCACAACATTTGTCAACCATCCACTTCGCACTAACACAAGGGAATTTCTCCAAATATGTTTACCTTTTCCCCCAGTACACATATTTTCCTTCAGACCCCAATGACGAAAAACCAAAATATGTAAATGAGCACGTACTATACCCTACATTTTCATGGTTATCATTCTGTCACTTTACTAATCCACTCTCGCTACCATTAAATAACACCCCTTAAGACAACGAACTATGCAGCACCCAACTCTATCTCCAACAACAGCACTGGCCCTCAAACATTTCATACAGATAGGATATGAAAAATCACTAATCAAAATTACCGCACCTAAATCTAATGACTATTCTACCGACTACTACGATCATAACGACCTAACGAAGACATCTTTCTAAACGACGACCAGTTTCCTAATCCACAACTAACGGAGAAATTTTTCATATGAACACCCTACATTTTCACCCTCAACACCTAAGAAAAAAAAATACGATAACGTCATTTCAACAGAACTACGTGATATTCATGCTTATGATTCATACTTTAACAAGTTTTACCACTTTTCAATAACCTTTCATTTCCTCACACCCGAAAAAAGTGATTTGCACTGTACACACGAGTTCATGCTACGAATTAGACAAACACACACGTCCACTTACTACCAGTTCATCCAACGCCATTACACTCATAATACACCAGCAGGACAACTTCATCATAGATATCAATACATTACCTCAAATTACACCATTTTTTCTTAATTTCACCTTTTGCATTATAGACACTAACCTAGAAGGCATCCTCCACAATTACGATTCCATCACCCAGATGTATATATTCTGTAACCAAACTCTTCAATGAAGAGGAATCCTGCCCACTAATTGTCCCACCCAAATTCCTTCAGCCCGTTGAAGTCCCAATCCTAGAATTCATATATAACACTCTCTATAATCATAAACTTTATAACCTTATTCAAAAAACACCATATGAAATCTCACTAGCACTGAAGAGCACAACATCATTGAAGCACTCAATTTGCTTTGGCCACATCTTCAAACGAAATACATCATTCGTTTGATAGCTAAATTACTAACCTCATCGGACATTATTCACGACGTTTTTCCCCACGGATTCTTCACCGACGATTAGGTAAAATGAATTATATAGGCTATTAATAAATTTGAACAAAACTATCCATTCTTTTTAAATGTTTTCTTTTTTCTTCATAGGCACAATCATCAATCATCTACAAAACAGAAAAGAGAAACAATAATCCAAAACTTTTTTTAGATTTATAAATTTCTATTAACCAATTTCAATAATTAAAGCAGTAAAATATTCCCGTACAAAGCAAAGAATTGATATATAAATTTTTCCCCCAATGAGGTAGATATTCTTACAATTGAAAGTTTATTGATAATTTCAACCCCAAACCAAGCAGTAAACTTAAAATTTTCAAAGTAGCAAATAAATGAAAATTGCCGAAAAAGCAGTACTAATCTTTTCAAAGACGCTTCTTTATGTTTTAAATATTCTTTCGCCCACAAATTCTATCCACACTCGCACAGCTCGCCCACGAAGAATTATTTTTAAAAATTATATTCATTTTTAACTTTCACTGATAACAACTCTAACCAGTTTTAACACGTTTCAATCTTTCCTTAACCTGGTTGGAAAGGAATGATATAAAAACCCAAACTAACCAATGCAAGCTTACTGAACACCACAAAACACAACCTAAGAGCATGACAAAGAAAAAAACCCACGGTACCCAAACTGGGTTAACACCAGCTTAGAACTGGATAAATTATTCTTTTGAAGACTACTTTTAAGTCTGAACACAAAAGAACAAAACACCAAAAAGTCACCGAAAAACAAACCCAAAACAAACCATTTGATTTTTGGGAAAAAGACATAACTAAGCAAAAAAACCCGTAATATAAAATGCACGAAAGGTTGAACTAAATCAGGACCCTCAAAAAAAGAGAGCATGAAATTATACCCTCATTCCTGCCCTACATAACCCACCAGAGAGGACGTCCTGAGCATGCTCTATAGCCGGCCTCATCCACCGTGCTACATCCACGCTTTGTGCCACCCACGACAAGAGTGAGTGGCTCTTAAAAATAACCGAACTAAATAATAACGCTTTTGCGATAAAAACTAATACAAGATCATGACTAAAAACAAAATTAACAAAGATTTTATATGTAAATAATACAATGCAACATATAGATAACATACAGGCCAAAAACGAGCAGCAAAGAACTTGACAACCAATCACACTCCAACTACGGAATGGCAAGACACACCTGACATGATACCTACAGTCACTAAACTCAAGGGACTTAAAGTATGACTTGGCATCGCAGCAAAGAAAACCCATTGCGACGGAACAATGGCTATCTCGATGTTCAATTATACGTACAGATCCAAGTCACCAGGCACTGCATCCGAAGTCAAACTACATGAAACTCCCGGATGTGATTGGACCCTTGCTATTCCCTAAAATCAACCAGATCAACACTCATCACAACCGATCAGAAATCATAATACAATCTTCCGAAACTATCGTGATAACATCTCTTGTTCAAATCAGAAAAAAAGAACATGCTCGCAACCTCTAAAAAAAATACCATCATCCATCCTTCACTACAATAATACATTGGAAAACTAAAACTCTCTAAACCCCGGACGGGTGGAACCAGATCTAAACTAGTATTTATCATTGGTTATTATTATGATATTTTATCTCCATAAAATGTTAAATACTAACCAATCATACTCCATCAAACTAACAACCCACTTATTTTAAAGTGGTGAAAAAACTTGTAGTTTCAACACCAGAACAGTTTGAATTAAACTTAGAGTACAGTTGTTCTCATTCTGGAACTAACTCGCGTAAACCGGTGTACACTAGATCTATTGAGATTAGGAGATATAAGAGTAAGATTAAGATTGGTATTAGACAAAAAAGTTGCACGAATCTATTCGGCCGAAAATAAGATAGCGTGATGAGCAGACGGTGTACCTTATCTGAAATTACTCTATGTGTGTAGTATATAATACATAACTCAGCTGTCTTGACAAAATCTTGCTTCGTGAAAAGTGTAACAATGAGCTTTCTACTCTTGGTCGAGCAGTTTGGATATGTTCCTAAGATTTTACCAAACGCCATGATTGTCTTGTCAAGTTCTTGCAATGTTTCGCAAAGAAATCCTTCATTCTTGGCTAATCCATGAATAACACTGATCTTAACACTGCAAGTAAACATTTGTTCAAAGCTGTCCTTTTGAGGGGTGGCATTTTGTTAGAACGGATTATTTTCTTAGGTTTTTAAGATCATTGTTGTTCATGGAGTGTCCAAGTACCTGCCACATTTAATAGGGGGAGGGGGTCTGGCACATGTACAGATTACATACGTGCCACATAAAATGATAAGGGGGGGTGGTGAGCTGTCTGTATCAACTTGTTTAGTTGTGTGTGGGGTCAGGGGGTGAGTTGTCCTGCGTGTGGCCTGGTCGACTACAGTGGTCTGAGGGGGAGCGAGGACTGTGGGGTGAAGATGCTGGTTGCTGCTGAAATGGGGGCTACTTATGGCATACAAGTCAATGGCAGCCAATGCGACATGGTCGCCCCTCCTGTGAGTCGACACACTATCTCTCTCTTATTATAAGAGAAAAAAGTACCTAATCTAGAACTAATAAATAGTAAATAGTTAATATTAGTAGAATTCAGAAGAAAAAAAAACATTCTCAAAATGGTTTTTATTTTTCAATAAAACTTAATGCATAATGTGCATATTTTCAAATTCAATTAGTTTGGTTTAATTTGATTTTCTGGAGTATCATAAAATCGGGTTGACATAACCGAAGAATTATGATATCTGATTCTGATGTAGTCGCGTTTAAAGTTTTGTCTGGTTTATAGTTTGAGCTCTTGAGAATTCCAATAAGCTTTCCGAACGCAATTAACCATTAGGCACGAGTACTGATAATGATGTCAGCAAGGAATTATAAGGTTACATCATAACTGCAGTCTTTCATTGATGAGATAGAAGCTTCTTGCTTAAAAACTAGAACAATAAAAATGTTACGTGTTGCCTTTCTAGTCTGCGCCCTGTCCGGAGGAGAGTAACACCCACTGTCTGTTCCTGAAGACCTGTGCCACCATTGAGGACAGTGACACTTCATTCGGGGGCATCTACGGCTCCTTCTGCGTACACATGCACA